GTCTGGAATGTAGACCATTGACAGCGAACTTCTGCCCTCCGGGGGTTCCTCCATTTGTGCTGTAAGCCTGTACGTATTTAAGGTTTCTCCCCTCTTTCAATAAACGGCATTCGACATCCAATCGTACGAATGACCCGCTGTCTCTTGTCTCTATTTTTTAATCCGCAGCCCTTCGCTCAGACGTGGTGAACGGTTAGCGGTGACACGGGCGTTACCGCAACAGGCTTGTTTGTTTTCTAAAGAGAAAGAGAAAGGAGGGAGTGGAAACCACAATCAGATAAACTCATTCTTATTTTTCTGCACAAAATTTAACTCCAAATGGAACAAAGACCTCAACATGAAACCAGATACACTGAACCTGACAGAAGAGAAAGTGGGTAATATCCTTGAATGCATGGATACAGGACAAGACTTTCTGAACAGAACAGTTATCATGGTTTGAAAAAAAATGGCCCCCAAAAGGAGTGGCACTATTAGGAAGTGTGGCCTTGTGGAATTAGGTGTGGTCTTGTTGGAGGAAGTGTGTCACCATGGAGGTGGGTTTTGAGGTTTCATATATGTTCACGCCATATCCAGTGTTTCAGACCACTTCCTGTTGCCTGGAAGCTGTAGGACTCACAGCTACTTTCCAACTCCGTGTCTGCCTCCATGCCACCATGTCCCACAATGATGATAATGAACTGAACCTATGAAGTGTAAGTGAGCCACCTTAAGTGTTTTCCTTATGAATTGCCATGGTCATGGTGTCTCTTCACAGCAATAGAAACCCTAAGACAACAGTTAACACAAGCACTGAGATAAAAAGTTAATTAATGAGACCTCATAAAACTGAGTAGCTTCTGCATGGAAAAGGACATTGTCATTTGGACCAAGCAACAGCGTAAAGAATGGGAAAAGAGTTGTTATTAACTACACATCTGATTGAGGGGTAATACTAAAAAAATATAAAGAAAGTAGACATCAAGAACACAAATAAATAAGTTAAAAATCAGGTAAAGGTCTAAACAGACTTCTCAATAGAGGAACTTAAAACGGCCAAGAAACATAAAGAAGTGGTCAAAGTTTTTAGCCATTAGGAAATTTCAAATTAAAACTACTTTGAGATTTTTTTCCTTGCACCTGTCAGAATTGCTAAGATCAACAAAAAAAGTAACAGCTCATGCTGACTAGGCTGTGGAGTAAGAGGAACTCTCATCCATTGCTGTTGGGAGTGCAAACCTGTGTAGTCACTAATGAAAGGGTTGCAGTTCCTCAGAAAGATTGACATCAGTATCCAGCTATACCACTCCTAGGCATACACTGAAAGGACGCTTCATCCTACCACAAAGACATTTGCTCAATCATGTTCGTTGCTGCTCTCTCATCATGAAAGATATCCCACAACAGATGAATGGATAAAAAAATGGAACATTACTCAGCCATTTACAAAATGAAATCATGAGATTTACAGGTAAATGGATGTAACTTGAAAAAAAGATCATCCTGGGTGAGGTATCACAGGCCTAGAAAGACAAATATGGTATATATTCATTTATATGTGGATATTAGCTGTGAAGCCAGTGATAAGCAAGCTACAATTTGCAGAGCCACAGTAGGTGGGTATACAGTAAGGGACTAGAGAAAACAGATCTTGTTAGGAAAGGGAAATAGAATAGATAACTTTGGATAGATGGGACCCTGGAATGGGAAGATCAAATGGGAAGGAGGAGAAGTGAAGGGGCTGTGGGAGGGAATGCAGGGAGAGACATCTAAAATTAGGGGACATTTGAGGGGTAGTATGCAAACCTAATAGAGTAGAAAATTTCTAAAACATATACATCAATGAAGATAATCCAATGCAATTGCCAAATAATGGGAGACTGAGCCTCAACTGGCCATCTTTTGTCACCAAACAAAATTTCCAGAACCAGGATTGGGTTACACCTAACTGAGTTGTTGGCCAAAGGGGTCTTATAGGAATCCCCAAATAACTCGGGCTATTGCCAAGACTACAGGTTGCTCTTCACCGACTGACAGCACAGCCCCATTGCTGAAGACAACACCTACACAACTCATTGAACATAGAGAAGTCAAGCTGGTGCCCACACAGAGGCATCGCCCCTATGCTCAGGAAGGTTCTTTTCAGGCTATCAGAAGAGAAAGGTGAACATCAAGCTAGCCACAAAACCTTTATCTACAGTGGTGTCCTGACTGCAAGATATACCAGGGCAATGGTGGCACAAAGCTTGTGGGAATAATCAAAATATAACTGATTGGACTTAAGGCTACTCCAGAAGATGGAACCCATACCCAACACTGCTTAGTGACTGAAAACCTGACACTAAATAACTCAGGGATATAGGGCAAAACCAAAGACAACCAGTCTAAAAAAAGAAAAAATATGTAGGGATATAACTGCTCTTAATGATAATTTACTATACTCAGATCAGTTCCTTCCTCGGCCACTATCAGGGAAGCTCCCCCCTGTAGCAGATAGGATGAAATACAGATATTCACAGTGTGTCAGTATGTAGACAATGAGAGACCTTGGACAGCTGTAAATGGGATGTCTCCATCAAATCCCTCCCGTCAGAGCTAAGTGAACCCTGAGGAAGAAGTGGAAAGAATGTAAGAGCCAGAGAGGATGGAAGACACCAAGAAAACAATGCCCTCTAAATCAACACAAGCAAAGCTCAGATTAACTCAGACTGAAACAGTATGCACGTAGCCTGCACTTGTCTGCAGCAGGTCCTCTGCTCACATATGATAGCTTTCAGTTTAGTGTGTTTATAGGATTCCTGAGTGTGCAAATGTAGTGCATTCCTGCTGAGCTCCTGGCCTGGCTCCAGAGAGCAGCACCTAGCCCTAATCTTTCATTTGTTCAACCACACCTTTTGTTTCTCTTACCTTTTGCTTCTCTTATTGCCCTATGTGAATCTTGTCTGAGAGTCAAGGATCAGAGAGTCCCCCAAGGATCAAAGGCCTATGCAAAACTTTGTCCAGGAAACCCGGAAAACCGTGGTACCTGATAAACCAAGTAATTTGCACTTGGCATTTGGTCTCTGGGAGCTCCTTTTAGGCTGCTTTGCAGGTACAGAAATTAACTAGCTAAACTGTAATAGAGAGTAAGTAAATATGCCCAAGGCAAAGGGATAGTGCTCCAGTCCTTCGAGGCTGGACCCTCCTGCAGCCATGAAAGGCTATATTCATTTTTAAGATGCCTCTGAGTCTTCACTCCATGGACCAGTGTGAACCACACACCCATGTCATGACGCACAGTTGTATGTAGATGAGTGGGTCTCTGACTCTCATGCCTTCTCTAGGGTTGTTCCTTCTGTGGGTTTGTCCTGCCTAACTTTGATGTGATAGTTTTTGTTTTGTCTTGTGTATTTTATTTTTGTTATATTTAAAAAAAATGAGTGGCTAGATGATGGTGGTGCACGCCTTTAATCCCAGCACTTGTGAGGCAGAGGCAGGTGGATTTCTGTGAGTTTGAGGTTACACTGGTCTACAAAGTGAGTTCCAGGACAGCCAGGGCTACACAGAGAAAACTTGTCTTGAAAAAAAAAATAAATTGGTGATTGACTGACTGAATGAATGAAAACCTAGCCACAGTGATAAAGAATAACAACTGAACTGTCCATTGTACCTGCTGGGAGAGGGAAAATCAGTTTCTTCAATAAAGTGACACTGGGTATATCAACCACTCCAGGACAGGCCTCATGTTCAGAAGTAGTTGACCAACGTATAACTGGACTCCACAGTATTTTTTATGGTGTTTACTTTTATTTGCTTACAATTGGTTGTTGTTTTCTTATTTTAGATGTGGTTTTATTTATTTATTTATTTATTTTGGTTTAGGGGAATTTTTTGTTGTATTAGACTTTTGTTTCTTTTCTGAGAAAGAACTTAAAGTTGGGTCTTGTTGTGGTTTGAATAAGAATGGCCCCCATTGACTGAAAATTTGGTGGCTGTGGTAGTAATTTGTTGTATTCTAATAAAATTTGCCTGAAGACCAGAGGACAAAGCCAGTCACAAAGTCAGCCATAGAGGTCAGGCAGTGGTGGCACACATCTTTAATCCCAGTTCTTGAGAATCACAAGCCTTTAATCTCAGCACTTGAGATCTCATGCCTTTGCCACCAGTATTTGGTAAGCACACACACCATTAAGCCCAGCACTAGGAAGGTTGAGATAGGAAGTAATATGGCTGAGTGGAGAAGGGTATATAAGGTGTGAGAAGACAGGAACTAAAAGCCTTTTTGGCTGAGGACTCATGGGCATTCAGTCAGAGGATTTGTGGAGTTGACGAGGTGAGAAGTGACTGTGACTTGTTCTTTTGTCTCTCTGATCTCAGTATTTATCCCAATATCTGGCTCTGGGCTTATTTTATTATTAAGACCAATAAGATTTGTGCAATAGGTGGCATTAGAATTGTGGGCTTCTTGGAGTAGGTGCAGCCTTGTTGGAGGAAGTTTGTCAGTAGGGGTAAGCTTTGAAGTTTTAAGAGCTCAAGCCGTGTCTTAGTGTTTTTGTGCTGTGAAGAGACACCATGACCATGGCAGCTCCTACAAAGGAAAACATTTAACTGGGGCTGGCTGAAAGTTCAGAGGTTTAGTCCATTATCATCATGGTTGGAAACATGGTGGCATGCAGTGAGACATGGTGCTGGAGAAGGAGCTGAGATTTCTACATCTTGATCTGCAGGCAGCAGAAGAGAACTGAGACACACTTCCTCCAACAAGGCCACACCTCCTAATAGTGTCACTCCATATGAGTCTATGTGGGCCGTTTTCTTTCAAACCACCATAGGCCAGAACTAGTGGCTCACTCTCTCTTCCTGCTGCATGCCAATCTGGATGTAGACCTCTTGGCTCCTTCTCTAGCACCATGTCTGCCTATGCAGCTCCATGCTTCCTGCCATGATGACAACAGACAAAACCTCTGATCTGTAAGCCAGTCCCACAGGAATGCTTTCCTTTACAAGAGTTGCTATGACCGTGGCATCTCCTCGTAGCAATAAAACCTTAATTAATACAAGTGGGTAGGGAGGGGGAGAGGATCTGGAGAGGCCTGGGGGAGGAAAACAATATGATCAAAATATATTTGAATTTTCAAATTATTTCAAATAATGAAAAAATGTAGTAATAAAAACTGTTTTCAATAAAAATAGCACTAAAGGAAACTGTGTTAAAATTGAACACTTTTTGGAGCATCTGTTCTGTTTGCACATCACTTGTCTGAGGAAAACATGCAAG